ATAATAAAATTACATAGATATTAAAAACTATCGAAATCTAAGTAACGAGTGCATGTTCGTCGTTCCACATCTAAATTATATAAAAATGCATTTTTCAATTTCACTAATCAATGTCGCCGCGAAAATTTCTTCTTCTTTGGGCACTTTAAAAAATAATTTATTTAGAAAATAATATTTACAGTTACCATTGTACAGATATTAACTAAATTGAACAGTGTACATAATATATTAAAAATGTTTAAAATTGAGTATAAACTTTTAAAAAACTTATATATATTTGAACGAAGTCGCTCCAACACCGACACGCAGTCCACCCTCGACGATGTCCGAAAACGGACTGCGACAGGGCGACGGAGCATGCGCGCTCGCGTTAATATATTCAATTTCAGGGAAAAATTATATATTCTCTTATAAAACGGGGAATAAAAATAAAACTCTCAATTCAAAATATTAATATTTTTAAGACCTTTTTTTTAGTGTAAGAACTTTTTAAAAAGCTTGTACCGTTTTGGAGAAATTTTGCAAAATATGACAAAGATAAGTACTCTTTGGGGATTTTTTTCTAATAAGCGGTTGATAAAAATTTTGTTCAATTAAAAACATTTACCAAGTCCTCTTCTGTTACCCTGTATTTTTTCTTTGTGGATTAAATGAACAGTTATTGAGATTTTTTTAACTTAAATATCCAAGATTTAGGCATTTCAACCACTGTTAAGGCCTTAAATGAATTTTTAAAGTCATTATTAAATTCCTTCACTGTACTATAATGCCTAATGTTCCAAATGGATGTCATTTAAATTTATGATAACTAATACATTTTAATTGTTTAAAATATTACTCCGTTGATATTTTCAGATGACTTCGTATAGAATTTAATTATTTTAAATATTAATAATGCGTCGTCACTATTGAATACGAGTTATTGTTGAACACACGGAAATTCAACCCTAAATAATGTTGATGTCTTGACCGACATCAACTCTTCCACATACACTACTGGAGAAACTTTTTAAATATAATATAAGCAACCTCGTATAGTTGGAGAACAATTATAAGTCACATTTGAAGTATCAATAGGAATACTTTTTTGTAGTCAATCCAGATGGCAGGCGAAATTATTAATAGCCATGTCACTAAGTCCGTGAAGTGGCGGTAGTCCGTGTAGTGGCGGTTGAAAATATCCACTACCCCATATCTTCCCGTAAACGGCGACAAAGAGAAACAGGCAGGAGATGGGCAGCAGCATCTTCCTGATAATAGCCAAAATTACAATAAAAAAACTGCTGTTTAACCAACCCGCTCGCCATGCGTGGCAACTATGGCAAATACTCCCCAATGATGAGAGCAACAAAGAGACGGCCCCCAGTCCCCGGCGGTTACCCGCTATTCCTAGCTACGATGGCGACCATGGTAACGTCGGGGCTGGGGGTGCTAAGAATCTCCGGTGGAGGTTCGGTTGGCACCTAAGACGACTCGACCTGGGAACATACAACGCACGCACCCTGAGGACTGACGAGAAGATCGTGGAGCTGGAAGAATAGATAGATTTTTTTTATATGATTGGGTGACAAACGAGCACACAGTCCACCTGATGGTAAGTGGTTACTGTGACCCATAGACATCTACATCTATCCTCAATAAAGACTCAAAATGCAGATGCATTGTCACCCGTGAGGACTAAGATGGAATGCCTCTTTGCCAGTAAAAAGGGTCTCCGGTTCTCTACACTCACCATACGAAACACAGCAGCGTTAAGCTGCTATTTTACGCTGGTTTTCTGTGAGAGCGTGGTCCTTCCACGGTCGAACCGACCCATTCGTGCTACAACCATAATATAGCTGCAGCATGGCTCTACCACGTACCACAAGTTACGCTGGCATATTATAGGATTATCCGAGGTCCGAATAGAGGGGGAGGTCACGGTAATCCTCGAATCCGGCAACTTGCTCTATCACCGGGAGGGCGAATGTATGAGGATATCTCTAGAGCCATGCATTCCTGCAAAACCCAATATACGGTGTTAATGGGAGACTTCAATGCAATACTAGGCACAAGAGAGAACGGTGAGCTGAAAGTAAGGAAATTTGGAATAGGGCAACGGAACCCAAGGGGCCAGCAGCTGGCCGACTTCATGGGAAAGAGGGACTCTTTATGATGAACTCTTTCTTCCAGAAGCGGCCCCACAGGAAGTGGAACTGGTCGAGCCCCGACGATTCGACAAAAAATGAGATTGACTTCATTATGACGACCAGACGACAGCTGTTCAGTGATGTCTCCGTGATCGCGAGGGTGAAAACTGGTAGCGATTACCGAATGGTTAGAGGTACACTGAACCTAAACGTTAAGTTGGAGAGGTCTCATCTAATGAAGTCAACGCTTCGTCCCCCTTGTGCTCTGTTCAAAAGTCCTAAAACCTTTCAGCTTGAGTTACAAAACCGTTTTCAGTACCTAGAAGACTGCAATGAAGTGGACGATATGTATGACAAGCTCGTGGAAACTGTCTATGCGGTCGGAGCTAATTTCTGCAAGACCCGCCGCAGAAGAACACAAAAGTTCTCCGATCACACTCTTAATCTCATGGCTGTTAGATGGGAGATGAAGCTACATTCTTCAACAGATTTGACAGCATATAGGCAACTGAACAGATAGATCTCCAAATGCATGCGGCTGGACTTACGCAACGTCAATACAGCTTGTATTGAAGAAGCGATCGAGCGGAACCAAGGCTCCAAATTCTTTGCCAAAGATCTGTCTGCCAAAAAGAGCCAACTGTCAAAGCTGAAGACCGAGTGTGGCACCATTGTTTCCGTGACACCTGAGATTTTGAGTGAAATTGAGAGGTTCTCTGGGCAGCTGTACACGTCATCGTTGGAGCCACACGCAAGTGTGAGTAACGATCCAAGAGCGAATCTTATCCGACACTATTCCGAAGATATCCCGGACGTCAGTTTGAGCGAGATTAGAATAGCTCTTCAGCATTTTAAAAACGGTAAGGCCCCAGGCGAGGATGGAACTACAGCGAAACTTTTGAAAGCGGTTGGAAAACCGGTACTTGAAGTCCTTTAGAAGCTCTTTCATTCCCTCCTCCATGGTGACACTATTTCGAAGCAGAAGTGTGGTTGTCTTGTTCTTCAAGAAAGGCGACAACGCTCTCTTGAAGAACTACAGACCGATTTCCCTTCTGAGCCGCGTCTACGTGCTGTTTTCGAGAGTCATTACAAATCGTCTCGCAGCAGACTTAACGACTTCCAGCCTACCAAACAAGCCAATTTCCGAAAAAGCTTTAGTACCATAGACCACATACATACCCTGCGGCAGATTGTACAGAGGACAGAGGAGTATAATCTGCCATTTTGCCTTGCGTATGTGGACTATGAGAAAGCCTTTGACTCCGTCGAAATTTGGGCGGTGCTGCAGTCCCTTCAGCGGTGCCAAGTTGACTGTCGGTATATCGAAGTGCTGAAGTGTTTGTACAGTAGAGCGACGATGCCTATCCGAGTACAGAATCAGAGTACGAAACCTATCTAACTGCAGAGATGTGTAAGATAGGGTGGCGTTATATCCCCGAAACTCTTCACTGCTGCATTGGAAGACGTTTTCAAGCTACTGGACTGGAAAGGATGCGCTTTTAACATCAAGTGCGAGTACATCACTCACCTTCGATTTGCCGACGATATAGTCCTTATGGCAGAATCGTTGGAGGACCTAAGCCCTATGCTCAATGACTATTATAGTGTCTCCCAACGGATAGGTCTTAAGATGAACATGGACAAAACAAAAATCATGTTTAATGTCAATGTCACACCTATGCCGGTAGTTGTTGGGAGCACTAAGCTCGAAGTTGTTGACGAGTATGTTTACCTGGGACAACTAGTCAAACTAGGTAAGTCCAACTTCGACCGAGAGTTCAATCGACGGATTCAACTCGGCTGACTCGCTGGGCAGCTTTCGGGAAACTACGACACATCTTCTCGTTAGACATACCTCCAAACCTGAAAACAAAATTGTGCAACCAGTGCGTGCTGCCAGTGATGACTTACGGATCTGAGACGTGGTCCTTCACAGCTGGCCGTATGAGGAAGCTCAAGGTCGCTCAGCGAGCTATGGAGAGGGCTGTGCTCGGGGTTTCTCTGTGTGATAAACTTAGAAATGAGGATATCCGCCGTAGAACCAGAGTAACCGACAACGGATTAGTAAGCTGAAGTGGCAGTGGGCCAGCCATATAGCTCGTAGAACCGACAACCGATGAGGAAGAAAGATTCTCCAGTGGCAGCCTTGAACCGGTAGGTGAAGTGTAAGGTGACCCCCCACGAGATGGAGTGACGACCTTGTAAGACATGCAGGAAGTCGATGGATGCAGGTGTCTCAGGACCGTGCTTTGTGGCATTCCTTGGGGGAGGCCTATGTTCAGCAGTAGACCTGTGAACGGCTGTAATGATGTCACTAAGAAGTTGTCCCACGACCACCGCCCAACATTTACTCTGAGTACGCATTGTAGTTTAAATTATGGAGTAATTCTCGTACTCAAAGTGCATTATAAATGGTGAGAAGACATCGTTTCATACACGATATTTGGCTCCACGGTAACAAATCAGATAAAAATTTAGATAAATAACTACAGTCAGAAACTTATTAATCTGCCCGTTAGTGCCAGGTATACCTTCTTCATTCTTCAATGCCACTACTTTGGCCATTAGCGTGTTCAAACTTTACAAGTTCAGCACTCAGCGGGCCTTTACATTTTTATTTAAATCTACTTCGTTTTTCAATTATTATTATAATATGCACAAGTAAAAACTCAGGCTTAAAGTTTTAAAACAGTCAAAGAATATGCTTTTACGCAAACATGTCAAATTGAATTTATTTTTATTTTCAATAGAAACTAAAATTATGACAAATAATAATATATTTGGTGAAGTTTCATACAATTTGTCAAATTTTCTGTTTCCTTTTTCCATGAAAAATAACATCGACCGACATTTATCTTAATTTTTCTATTTTCAAACGTCCTTAAAAATAAAATTAAATGGTTCTACGACGTAATTAACGACACTTTGTCGCACCTTTATTGGTTCTCCAAGCCATTGTATTTGAAAATTTTCAATCACTCTAGCAAGGAATACCTCCATTTCCAATTCTGCTAATCTTCGACCTGAAAAATAATTACGTACATAAGAAGTATCGTAATAAAAACTTACCCGAATCTAAAATCATAGCAATTAATATTTATTTTTTAATTATTTAAAAAATTCTGGTTGTGTTATAGATTTTTTTGTTCTTTTACTGTCAGTTTTATGTATTACTAAAATATTAACTTACCTATGCAACCCCGAGCGCCATAACCAAATATACTAAATGCAAAAGGATGGGCATTTCCGTAGTAAAGCGGGTCATCCTTGTCAACTAACCAACGCTCTGGAATATATTCATGTGGTCTGGGATAGTGACACTCCATTAAGGCCATATGTTGGTGGCAAATTATCACAAATACCTGTAAGGAACCGTCGCTCCGTTAATATATCAACTACCAAGTTGCTCCAAAACTAGTTATTACATTGTAGCTAATATTAATGTTAAATATATAAACTGGGTATTATATTTATTGGTAATTTAAAACTAAATAAAATAACAAAAAAATATATGTATTGATATTATGTAGCCAGTAAATCAATATTTCCCTGCGCCAGCGTAAATGAACCCAAGCTTAAGAGATTTCTCCTTTCTGTCTACAGTTCAAAGAAGAAAACCTTATCGTCATCTTCATCATCATCTAATAAAGCAGCGTGGCAACTAATTCCATTATGACAGTAGACTTTGATATCAACTGTCGTAATGGAATTAGTTGCCACGCTTGGCAGGCGGGTTGGCAACCTCAATTGTGTATATATGTAATATTATTTTTAATTGTTATCAGGAACATACTGCTGCCCATCTCCTATTTCATTTCCCTCTATCACCCCTAACGATTTTTTTTATAGGAGAGGGGGCAAACGAGCATACGGCTCACCTGATGGTAAGTGACTACTGCCGCCCATGAACAACTGCAACACTAGGGAAATTGCAGGTGCGTTGCAGGTCTTTTAGAAAGGAGTAAGCCTTTTATTGAAGGTTCCTAAGTCGTATCGGTCCGGAAAAATCGCCGGTGGTAAAATATTCCACAGAGAGATCGTACTCCTAGGGAAACTCCTAGTAAAACATACAAAGGTGGACCCCAAGCATGCAGATGGTGGGTATGGTATCGGTAGTTTTGCCGCAATGTGCGTTCGTGAAATTTGATAAACGATTCCGCAGATCACTCCCTGTGGTAGATGCGAAAGAAAATGCAAAGGAGTGCGACATCTCTTCGCAGCGCCAGTGGTTGGAACTGATCAGAAAGGACTCAGTCGTTGACGATTCGAGCTGCTCTACGCTGGATGTGGTCAAGTGGAAGGAGCTGGCACTGGGGAGGCCCGTCCCAGAGATAGGAACAGTATTCCATGTGAGACGGTAACTGCGCCTTGTAAAGTTGCAGATGGTGTGCCGGCAGGAAATACTATCCCGCTCTGCTGAGCACGCCAAGCTTTTTAGAGGCCAATTTAGTCTTCTCTTCCAAGTGACCACGAAACTTCACGTTACTCGATATATCGACACCGAGGATTCCGATACCTTGAGTACCTAAAAATTAAGGAGATACGACAAAAGGGTTCTTTTTAGCGGTAAACGCGCAAACTTGTGTCTTGTGGGGATTGAACTGGACTAGATTTAGCCCCCCCAATCCGAGACTTTGTTCAGCAAAGACTCGATTTCAAAAACAGGTTTGTTCCGGTACTCTGAGATGTTTTCCCGAAAAATATTAGCAAGACCGGTGTATAGAACATCAGCAATGCTATCATCCGCATAGCAATTAATGTTGCCGGTTTGCAACATATCGTTGATATGCAGAAGATACAGCGTTGGTGACAGCACGCAGCCTTATGGAACACTAGCATTAATAGGCTTGTAATCGAAGCATGCACCATCTACAACGACCTTTATGCTCCGATCTGCAAGAAAGCTGGTGATCCAATTGCATTATTTCTTGGGAAGCCCATGTGAAGGGAGCTTCGAAAGAAGCGCTTTGTGCCAAACCCGATCTAAGGCATTCGCAATGTCCAAACTAACGGCCAATGCCTCCCTCTTGGACTCTACTGCCTCCGTCCATCTATGAGTCAGGTAGATCAGAAGATCACCAGCTGATTGACCACGACGAAAACAGTATTGGCGATCACAAATCAGCTGGTGATCCTCAAGGTACCGCATGAGCTGGCAGTTTATATTAGATTCCATTCGTTTTGAGAACAAAGAGGTTTTTTTTTATAGGATAAGGGTTACAAACGAGCAAACAGTCCACCTGATCGTAAATGGTTACTGTAACACATAGAGATCTATATCTATCTTCGATTACGAATCAAAGTTCAGATGCGTTGTCACCCGTGTGGACTAAGATGGAATGTCTCGTTTCCAGTAAAAAGGGTCTCCGGTTCTCTACACTCACTATACGAAACACAGCAGCGTTAAGCTGCTATTTGACGCTGGTATTCTGTGAGAGCGTGGTCCTTCCCCGGTCGAGCCGACCTATTCATATTACAACTATAATACTAATAGCTGCAGCATGGCTCTACCACGAATAATGAATGAAGGAATGAATGAATAAATGAATGATTATACTTTTATTGTTCACCACGAACAAATATACAAATGTCATAACAAAAATCAGTAATATGTACAATTAGGCGGCCTTATCGCTACATAGCGATCTCTTCCAGGCAACCAAAGGTGTAAAGTAATACAAACAATGAATAGGTGGTGCAATATAAATATACAAATAATAATTGCAAAAAAAAAAAAGATATAAATAACTAAGTAATACATGAAATAATATAAATTACTAACACATAATTTAATATAAGGTAACACATATAATATATACATATACATACACATATACACATATACATACATACATACATATAAACATATATATACATATACATACATATACACATATATATATAAACATATATACATAAATATACACACAACACATATATATCAATATATATATATACAAAATTCCTCAAACAATAATATAAAGCTGATAGATACAATAAATACATAATCACACAATCTATCCTAACAGTGTCCGAACGATTGAGACAAGTAATGCTCTTTAAGTAATCGCTTAAAGATAACAATAGTTTGTACCTCACGTATATGCAAAGGTAGGGCATTCCAGAGCTTAATAGACTGGACAGTAAAAGATTTATTGAAAAATGATGTATTGTGAGTTGGCACACTTAAAATGAATTTTCTCGAAGAGCGTAAAGGTTCCCCCGGAAGCCCCACAAAATTAACTTCTCCTTTAGATAGAGAGGAGTAAAAGGGTGAAATAATACACAGTACAGAATAGAAAGTATATGCATGTTCCGGCGAAGTCGGATAGGTAACCACTTGAGACGTGAACGAAATTGGGAAATATGGTCAAATTTGCGCAATCCAAATATGAACCGAATACTAGTATTTTGAAGTCTCTCAAGCTTATTTAGCTGGTCCTCAGTTATGTCTACGTAGCTTGCGTCAGCATAGTCGAGAATCGGAAGGAGAAGAGACTGTGCGAGCATAATTTTTGTAGGAATGGGAAGAAATGATCGAAGGCGACGCATTGAACAAAGAGCGACAAAAGTTTTCTTACTTACTTCATTCACTTGGCGTATCCAATTTAAGGAATTATCAATATAAATACCAAGATTTTTGACATTGTCAAAGTAAGGGATAACAACTCCATCGAATACGATAGGTGGTACAGAGAACCAGTCAATTCTTGAGATAAAGCTCTGGCTACCAATAATGATAGCCTGAGACTTTTTAGGATTGACATTTAGGCCATATGATTTACTCCACTCGTGTATAAAATTTAGATCCTTATTTAATGTAGCGATTACATTCGGCAAATTCTCAAGAGTTGACTGGGTGTAAATCTGGACATCATCCGCATACATGTGGTAGAGAGAATATATTTTTAATGTGTAGTGATGGCGATAAGCCTGTAGTTATACGGGTCTGAGCGGTCACTAGATTCTCGCCCATTCTGCCTATGTGCTCTGACTTTGCCTTGGCAATGACACTTTTGAAAGACCTGGAGGCGAAATTATACTTCTTTTTAAGGGCGCTAGTGTTTACATCCCGGGACATTGATACCTCAGCCCAGGCCCGGTAGCACTCCTGTTTAAAGCATGATGCTATTTTACAGGAGCGACTAAACGGGCACCACAGAGGCCTAACACGGCGGGGATTGCAACCGCAATTTCAGCGAGAGTGACACCACACTCCGAACTAGAAAATGGTTCGAGGTGCCAAAAGAGTCGTCGTTGGAGACCTGAAATCCGGGTGAAAGAACAACAGAAGGTCCAGATCAGGGAAGATGCATGATCCTCCACATCTGGAATCCGCGTAGGGGAAGTAACCAGTTGTGTCAGACCATATACCAAGGCAAAAACATGAACATATCTCTCTGTATGGTAGGTTATACGAGAACCGAGCCATTCGGCGTGGTGGGCGTTAAAATCGATGGAGGATCACAATCTCTGCGGATGGGATCTGCTTTAGCAATCTGTAGCCATTCGGACGTGGTCAATGAGTCGGTCATTTTTGGCATTACCACAATGGGATAAGCAAGAAGACTGGTCCGAATCTTCAAGACCTTCAAGACCTTGAACTCTCTGACGTATATGCAAAATTCAGGCCGAAGCACAAAGGAGTTTTTCAAGTTGTACCCCGGGTATTAGAGATACGAAGTATCAGCCGGAGAGGACACCTGTGTCTCGGTTAGAAAGAGCAAGGCCGGCTTCGCCGTCTCGAAATGGTAGTGGACGGCATTTAGGTTCGCGTGAAGTCCTCTAATGTTGCAGAAATTCACGCATAGCGTGGCGGGGGTCGCCTTGGTCTTGTTGGTCAGTTAGCTCCGAGCAGTTATTGTCTTAAGCGAAATTTAGCCACAAGAATCTCATAAAACTTAAAATTAAAGATTAATCAACAGATCTGTTGAATTTATTCTATAGATTCAATAAGTTATAAATCAATGTTTCTAGTAAAAAAAAAAAAAAAACTTTAAACAAACATTTTTTGGAATTCTGTAGCCAAGCAAATTGTATTCCCTCGAGGTTTCTCTTAAATTTCCAAAAGCTACAGGCATTAGTCGCATTGCCTCTTTAATGCACGCCTTGATGTATGGCCGTCGGTCTGGTTTATTCATCACTTCTTCTCTTAATTTGTTTTGCTTGTCAGGATTTATTGCAAGTAAATAGAATATAAATATCATCGTATTAGCTACCTGAAATTAATATTAGAAAAATATGTGTAACAATGTTTATCTTGAGACGAGGGTTAATTTGGGTGTTTGTGACTTCTTAAGGTGTTCCTCGGTCATGATTCCATATCTCCTTATATCTTGCGGTCCATTTAATACGAATACCTTTTGTTTTTAAAGTATTACTTGAAAGATGATTGATTTTCTTTAAAATCGAATTGTATTAATGGTTAAATAAAGAAGCGATAGCTCAGAAACTAAGCGCACCTTGCTGATTTCACAATATATAAGCAAACCAGTTAGACTCCGCCATTCCGACGACACAAAATAAAATGTTTATTTTAATTTTAAATACTAATTTACTGCTTAGTGTTAAATGAAAGTATCGCGGGTAAATTTTTAAATTTGGGGAATAAAATATTTCAAGGACATGCTAAGCCAACCAACACTTAGACGTGAGAGTAGGCCTATTGCACAGCTGTGGGACATGGCTGTAACTTTACTTTACTTTTTTAGTTAAATACTTGTCAATCTATATTCATAAAATTCTATTAATTCTATTACGGACTCCTTAAAATAAATGTGAATTCTGCTCTATTTATAAAGAACATCAATAATTCATGTTCTTATGCTGAATACTAGACTTTAATTTTTAAATGTCACGACGATAATATGCAATAATTTTTATTTATATATTACAACAAAATAATCAAAATTGTAAACAGCTGATTTTAATGCGAACTAATCGTTTATTTCACTTTAAAAACTTTACATTTCATATAATATACTATATTGCTTTATAAATGTATCATATCATCAATTTTTTTTTAATTTTAAATATATAATATATTTTTTTATTGTGAATTTTTTGGCTGTTTTCACTGATTATTAATTTATACGCAAAGACAATATATGAATAATACCAAGACATAAAAAAAAAACTTACTGTATCTACTCCAGCAAATAATAGGTCGCTAGCTATTAAAACTGCAACTTTTTCGTCGACATCTATAAGTTTTTCTAAAACACTTTTTTCATCATCAGGTTTATTTTCTGTTTTGAGTCTCATAACGGTCTTTTTTATGAATTCTGCATTTAAACTGAACAAAATGATATATATATTCGGTTAAATCGTTAGGAACTGACATATTTGATAGCACACAGAAAGTTTTGCAGTTTTTTTTTTTGTATTAGACACTGTCCGGATATAACTTAATTCGAAAATTATTATTAATTACAAGTAAAAATCCGAATTTTCTTTAACTTTTGGTTCACCCTTCTAACGGCCCTGATTTGGCACCGTATGACTTCTTTATATTCCCTAAAATAAAAACTCAGCTGAAAAGGATAGTTTCATCGCCGGAAGATGCGCTAGCAACTTTTCTTTTAGCATAGCAAAACTTTCTGAGTGGACCATGTATGGTTTAAAGAGTATTTTTTAAATTCTATCCTATATATATACATAGTTGTGTAATATTTTTCGTACCATGGGTTTTGCAACTATGGGAAATGGTAAATACTTGAAAGATTTCATGGCTTATGATAGAGAAACGTACAACCGTCTCTATTTTCGACAGACTTAAATTTCATAGTGTGGCATGATTAAAAACTTTTCTTCTTAGTCTTTAGGACACCAAGCAAAAGATCACACAGCATCCAATTACCAGTAGACTGTGTGATTTTTTGTCACCTTAGTTTTTTTTTAATATTATGAAGCAGAAAAGGTTCCGTGGCATAATGAGTTGCAGCGCTAAAGGTCGCGGGTTTGAGTCCCGCACGAAATAAGTATTTGTGTGGCTTGCGAAAAATTGTTCCGGGCCTGGATATTTGTCCTTGTGAATAGTATGTATGTAAACAACTCCCACGAGAGAACAGAAAATCCTGGTGTGTAGTTTAAAAAAAAGAAAAACAACAGTCAAACATTCTGTCATTCTGTCAAAAATTGCTGTGTTAAGTTAACACATATAAATACATGTAAGTAATATGCGTTTCCTAGTACACTCATCTAATATAATATAAAAATTCGTTTTTGGTTGTTCGTATTTTGTGCACTGCCATGCTGTTCATCAGATTGCGACAAGACTTTGACAACTTATTGCTTACACTTGCGCAAAGGTTATAGGCTATATAAGTTACAGTATAGAAGGTTATAATTACTTACAGTAGGTGGCGCGCGTACCGACAAATTTATTTGAAATTTCTAGGTTATTCAAATTCAATGTATGTATTATCATTGCTAATTAAACAATATAACCCTTCCAAATTTAAAACGATATTTCCACAATTATTTCGTGTGCGGCAGCAACGCGCCGGGTACCAGCTTGTAATTTATAAAAAATGTACTTACTTTTCCAATTCGTCATAAAGTTTCATGGCACGTTTAAATGTTTTTGTCGGATAAAATCTCCAGATACTTGGTTTAAAATCTAATATGTCTGCCACAGCAAAGAATTCATGTACCATTTTAATTAGTTTTCGTACCGGAGAGTCCATCGGTAAATTAAAATCGAAGGAATTAAGTCGGACACCAAGCGCTATTAGTCCGATTGATTCCAAACTCCACAAATTTATTTCTTCACTGAATTTAGTTTTGATCATGTTGTTTTCGTTTCGTAAAGATTTCATTCTATAACAAAATTCGAGTCAATTATATTTTTATTTTATTACGGGAATAGTTAAAATAGTTAAAACCGTATCCGGCAAAAATAAATGATAGCAGTACAGCAGACAGTACTTATGTAAGTAATTTATAATATATATTTTATCACTGCAGGCAGTCTCTAAACACTTAAGCAAAGCAACTATCGCAAAATCTCCCCTACGGGGCGTTCTTTGGGGGAGGTCTATCTTCAGTGAACTTTTACAGGCTGTAATAGATGGATGGATATAAAAAGTAGGCAACACTGTTGTACCCGAAATATTTTTTATCACACAAGAGCCTAGTCTAGTATTTAGTGTCAGTACCACCTGTCCCAATATTACAACATAATCATATTTAAAAGTTTTAGCACATTTGACAGCAAACATAGCATCTGAACAGACACATCTCAAAACGCATGCGGCTGGACTTATGCAACTTCAATATAGCTCGTATTGAAGAAGAGATCGAGAGGGAACAGGGCTTTACCAGAGATCTGTCTGCCAGAAAGAGCCAACTGTAGAAGCTGAAGACTGATTGTGGCAGCATTGTTTCCGGGGCACCTGAGATTTTTATTGAGGCCGCGCTACCCCGATTGCGTTCTGCCCCGGGGGTGCCTCGCGATTGTAGGTAATTATTTCACGCAGTTAGCAAGAGTGACACAGGCTTGGTTTAGGTTCTTGTTCTTATGCTTTTTTAGATGAATTATACATTTTTTATTTTAAATTTATCGGGTTCGATTCCCGCCGAAGCTATTGAAATTGTTGCTTGAGATTTACATACTATTACACTAGCATGACTCAAACTAAAAAAATATGTTATATAAAAAACGGCCAGCTTCGCCGTGTCCTCTAAGCATAAACAATAGATAACAAATGAACCCGTCTAACCTTGCAACCATGTCTTGTGCTACTTCGTCCAATGCCTCATTATACGCTTTTATCGATTTAGGCTGCAGCATTATAGGATTAATAGCAGAGCGTAATTCTCGCCACTCTTGGCCGTGACTGAAAATAATTGAATACAATTATACTGTCTACTCTAAATTCAGTATAGCAGTTAAACTAATAAATCAAGTATACAAAAACTAGTCGAAATTACATATTATGTATGGCTTAGTTATCTTATTTACACATTATAAGAGTTAAAGAATAACATTATTGGGAAACTTGAATAACTGAGAATAATGGTTTGTCCTTCTTCTCAAGCTGGAGTAGCATGCCGGTCTATTCCAGCTCCATGATCCTCTTCTAAATTAGAATATTACGCTAAGTGTAGTTGTGCAATTATTACAATAATCAACTTATATTTTATTTAAAAAAAGTAAGCGAAACACAATTTGTACAATATTGTACAACACTACTCATTGAATAAATCCATATTCACGACTTTTATCCCGTTTAATTTACTTTTTTAATTGCCGACATTTTCCGGTGATTTGCAATACTCACGGTCACGGGGAAGACTGAGGTGATGGACGTCCCGATGTTAAGTTTAACCCGGAGTAACTTCAGCTTTTAGGGTTCCGTAGCCAATGGCAAAAAACGAAACCCTTATGAATCCGTCATGTCTGTCTGTCTGTCTGTCCGTCCGTATGTCACAGCCACTTTTTTTCGAAACTATAAGAACTATGCTGTTGAAACTTGGTAAGTAGATAAAATAATAATTATAATTCGCGATGGGCGTGCCTTGATCGGTAACGGGTGCGCAGAGCGCGGGGGTAGGTTCCCGACTCCACTTACCCGAGCGGGCAGGCACGTGAGAGGGCAGACGTCATTGACATTCGTGCGCGCGGAACTGATTTTTCGATACATTTGCGAATGCTATAAATATTGTACGTTTATGATTCGTTGGATAAAATTAATTTCAATTACTTACATCGGAATTATCTTGCTGATACGGAACCCTTCATGGGCGAGCCCGACTCGCACTTGGCCGCTTTTTTTAATTATTACTTCTGTACCGATCTACTTACTTTGTCTTGAGGATTTGCAGTGGTATGGTTGGGTTAAGTTTTAATTTTATTAATTACAGAATCTGAAGCACCCAAGCAGGTACTACCAGTAACCAGTCTCCTTATCTATTAAAATAAGGATGTTTTTTTTTTTAATTTCAATAGCCTCACGATGGTATGGTATGGTATGGATCATCCTTGGTAGGAATCGATGATTCGTAGTCTATCAAATCTTATGCAACGACGGCTGTCTAGGATATGATCACAAATTACAGACTTCCTGGAGCGTTTGTGTTTCACGGGATGTTATTGATCTTTTTATTTTCCCTATATAAGCTTGAACATTTCTGCATCTTGTTAATGGATATTACACATAACGAATATTAAGAACTGACTAATCTTCTTTGACGGTTTGTAGAATGTTGTAATAGAAGCTCGCTTCTATGACTCCTTTGATATATGGCAGTATAGCAAGTACACGCTGGACTGTAGCCGGCCTCACTCGGTCACTGTGATGTTATCTCGGTACCGGAAACTTGTTGTCGTGCAAAACCTGGTTGACGTACTGAAGCTCAGCAGTCAGGTTTTTGCTGTCACGAATCCCTTGTGCTCTCTGTAACAAAGATTTTCTCACGGTAGCTAACTATGAAGGATGATGGTGAGATTCACTTAATTTTTATTCATTTAAATATCGATTTGTATGGAGTGTTTTTTTTCTTCCCAAAGACGAATTTAAAGCGTTGAACAACTTAGGCAAAAGACTAGAACTCATGAATCTCCTGCAGATAAAAGTAATGCTACGGTGATAGTGGATACGCCGGATTACAATTTTAAATTTCAGATATTTTTATCAGATGAAAATACGTACAGAAAGGTCAAAACAGACTACAACTAATACGCTCAAAACAACTAGCGATCTAACTAAGAAATAGTCCGACAAATTAAATCTAGACATTAATTCGATTCGATTCGAACATTTTACAGACCGCCGAAGAAGATTAGTCAGTTCTTGCCATCCGTTAAGTGTGATATCACACTAAAAGATGCAGGAGTGTACAAGCTTTAATATTGTGGATGTGGTCTCTCTTATATAGGGCAAACAAAAAGATCATTAAAAACCCGCGTAAGGGAAACATATAGGTGACGTGAAACACCAACGCTCCGGGAAGTCTGCAGTTTGTGATCATATTCTAGACGGCCCACGCCATTACATTAGATTTAATAGACCACAAATCTTCGCAAAAGAACATGGAATCCCACCAAGATTGATACGTGAGGCTATTAATATTAAAATCATCCTAGAGAAAGAGGCTGGTTACTACCACCTGCTTGGGATCTCTAATTTTTCTCTAATTTTTTAAAAAAAAATTTTCTTCACTGTAAGATTTTCTCCTGTATTGTGGTGGGGGCAGTTTATATAGATAAATTTCACAAGGACAAACATCCAGACCCAGAACAATTACTTGTAGGCCATAGAAATACTTGTTCCGTGCGGGATTCGAACCCGCGTCCCTTAACGCTGCAACTCATTACTAAGCCACTGCCCCAAGGAACCGTCCATCCTGTAATTAATAAAAATAAAACTAAACCCAAGCATACCAATGCAAAACCTCAAAACACAGTGAGCTCTAAGCTCAGTCTGTTTAGATAGGACCAAAAGTAATAATTAAAAAGCTGAAGGACTCGGAATTAATCTACAAACTTAATCACCTCGGTCCCCTCCCCCTCTTCCCGGTGACCATAGGTGCTGTAAAGCACCCAAGACGTCGGGAATTAAAAAAGTAAATTAAACGCGATAAATTTCGTCAAAATAGTTTTATTCCATTGTCCGTACTCACTACACAGGTGGACAGATCACAGTGCTGCGCCCACACTCACGCTCTACGACATTTAAGTTCAGTGTTTCTGTATGAATCTTTTTTTGTTCTGTCATATTATATATTGCCTATTACATCTATTTTGTATAATGTTTGTAATTTGTGTCGCATCCCGAACTATTTGTAAGCCAGGTAAACAGACAGCCCTTTACAACTTTATCTTTAGGCGTGTAGGCTAAGGAGAAACTGTTTCTTTTGGCCGACTTAGTTAGAAGAGAAAGTCATGAGCTTATATAATTTTATTAATATAATTATATAATCTGATGATACAAATTTTCGCAAAAGAAAACAGATTTGGCTACAAACGGTCTAAAAGAATTCAATGAATGAATCATTGTCGCCATCGGCTTTAATATTTTGACTAAGCCAAATGTATTATTGTTTTATTAAGCCGAATGTACCATCAGAAGGCTACTACAAGAAAAAATAGTTTAACGGATTGCGTAATAAATTACTTGTACCGTTTTTGTTATAAATTAGAAATAATTTATACTTGCCATTGTTGTCACTTTGTGAAACTTACTATAAACTGGAAACGTATTCACTATAAAACCGTCGGGTTTTGCCTAACGGCGTTATTAAAGTATAAATTAAATAGTTTATTCTCTATATACATATAAGTGTAAATAGAGTTTATACTGTGTAAGTAAAAAATATAAACTAACATCTTAAATTAATCCAAAATTGATATAAAAGTTAAGTGAACTTACTCGGTTATTAATCCAGTATATTTATCCGAGTGGCCTTTTTTTCTTTTAACTACTTTTCTATAATATTCCAGTGACATAAATCCAGGTCGTTTTGGAGAATTGTTTTCCGCTCGAAGGATCTTAAATAAAAAGCTTTTAGTTTTTTAATATTATTATAATAGGTTGGTGTTAATGGAATTGTAGTTCCTTTTAATCCACTATCCAACTATTATCTGTGTGTGGTAAAATATACCCGAAGCAGCAGGTCTATGTAGTTCATGATTGAAACAAACAAGTTTATTATGAAAAATCAGAAGGAAAGTAGAGTCAGAAGTAATGAACATATAAAAGTCATATTCACAGCAATATGAAAGGCAAAAAAGGTAGGAAAGATATAAGAAATCTTTACCAACATTAATAAAATTATGATAAAGCAAAACACGAATAATTAAGTGAACGGTATTGCAATGACACAATAACAAACAAACGACGACGGCCAACGGTACATCAATTTGCTGGCGATAGACTGGTGAGAGTGCCATCGCCCCGAGTAAACAATAACCACTGCTAATATATTTAACTATAACTAATTGTTGACGCGAAAACGCTACGATTTACATCTCCGTTTCAGTTTTTCTCTGTCACCTCTTAATTCTGAAACCCACTAAATGACATGAGGTAGTGGTTTCTTTTACGCTTCCACTCCACGTTCCGTTTAGGCATTCCGAAGAATAGTCCGGACAAACAGACACTTATATATAAAGATAATTATTTATGTGTATAGATAATTGCATTGGAAGGCATGTTTTAAAGCCAATGTTATTTTTACCTGTGCTGAGCTCTCTGCATCAAATAGCATTACTACATCGGGTCCACCAAAATGCCCCTTCATCTTAACAATTGGTCCGTATGTTTTATATAAGTGGTTTTGTAAGTTATATCCTTCCAATTTGTACAGCGACCCTAAATACCAAATTTAAATAACATTAAATGTTTGTTTCGTTAGCGAAATGTGATTTCGAACTTTAGAGTTGGTGTTTGAATAGAAGTAAAAATCAATACAATAAATAGATTAATACAATTAATTCCAGCGCATCAGATATTCGAAAGGGATGTTAAATGAACACTAAAAATGCTCCCATTCAAAAGACTGACGATTCAAAAATGACACAAGCTTGAAATGAATTTTTGAAAATGCAAAAAAAAAATCGCCGTATAGAAATCTGACACGCTCGAGACAGGCTGTACATGAGGTCCCAGTTATGGTAGAATATTTTGAGGGATATTAATGAACTGACTGTGTTTTATTGTTTCTGACGTAAATTTAATAACTTTTTGAGATATTTCTTGTTTACAAAAAACACACTTCATATTTCTTTCACTCCACTCATCTTTGCAAAATTTAATAAAGTGACGAAATTTTATTCACAACATATTAATAGCATTATATTATATATAATCTATACTAATATAAAACGGATGGATGTAAGAAGGCGAGAGAGGTGTGTCAGGATCGCGCCAAATGGAAGTCCGTAGTCTCTGCCTATCCCTCTGGGTGATAAGCGTGAGTGTTTGTGTATAAAACAGAAGAGTTTTTTTTTGTTGTTGAAATATGCTAATCTCTTAAAAATTGGCTAATTTAATGGAGTACTTTTATCTAGTGACATATGTACGTTATAGAGCGAAGTTAAATTTTATCCACCTTCCATCCCTCTCTCGGGTGAGAGACCCCCTTTCGCGCCCCAGAATATGCCCCAAAGCGCGGTTTTTTTCAGTTTCAAAGAAAACCGTACACGATACAGGAAAAGTGTGTAGGTACGAAATGATCCCTGATAAATTTGCTATCAACCTCTTATAAATACAAAACCGATATCACTTATAGAATTTTTTTAATCATTTATTGATTTTTTTTTCTCAACATTAAGTTTTCTCCAAATTTTTATCACTTTACCGCCAAGATACTAAAGTAAAAAATAGAATATCTTTTTTAAAATGAAGTTCAATTTATTTCTAAGCTCTTTTATTTCACGTTGCTATGCTATTTTGAAAATTTAATTGATTCGTCCATTCAGCGAAATATGATTATTTATATTGTTACGAGCTTGGGGTTCGAGATAATAAAAACTGCCGATTGAATTATCAAAATTGACACTTTAATTACACAACACTAATTACAATTTAAAATCACACTAATAATAAAACACAATTGTACTACTGATCACTTAAGTTCGCAAATGTTTCGCTTCGAAGTATTCTCTTGTATCGCCAATTCAATACTGACTCGGTCGTGGTCTATACCGGCCTTATATAGGGCCTCAGATAGTTTCCAGAATCTTCTACTGTAGCGACATCTAGAATGTTCGAGTACATATCGGTCCCGAAATTCCTAGAAGGATCTTGACTCTCCTAGTTCTGCTACTCGACACTAGAGGGCACTAGTGGGAACTAGCGTTGCCATATACAAGACATTAATAGTGGCGCGCAAGACTGCCCCCTCCTAAGACATGCCCGTCCCGAGCATTATTGGCCCCATAATAACGCGCCAGTCGATCCACATGGACGATGTGAGGAGTACCTCTGGCACCTTTCTGTATCCGGTAGGTTACGTCATTGATCCTTGTCACAATCCGGTACGATCCGTCCCATTTAGCTTGAAGCATAGGAGATTTCCCTTTGCTGCGAACTGGATTGTGTAACCACACTAGTGAACCTTCGTCAAACCCTTTGTTGTTCATTTTGCGGTCATACCGTGTTTTCATCTTCTCAGACGTTTGCTGGCCCGTCTGTCTGACGTGCTCATAAGTGTCATTCATTTTGTTCCGCAAGTCATTTGCATAATCGGTTATACTGCGTGGGGCATCAGGTGGTATTCCAGTGATCAGGTCTGCAGGCAGCCGTAATTCTCTCCCAAAGTTTGCGAAAGCTGGTGTCACTGATGTACTTTCGTGAACAGCGCTTCGATATGACAACAAAAACGGTTGTATGTGCCTGTACCAGTCTCGTTGCCGTTTCTCGACAACTATTGCTAGGTACCTCTCCAATGTCTGATTAAATCGTTCTACCATTCCATCAGATTTTGGGTGGTAAGAAGTTGTTCCTGTTTTATGATTACCCATAACTCGGCACGTTTCCTGAAATATTTGAGACTAAAATTCCTTCCTTGATCGCTGTGAATCTCTAAAGGTACTCCAAAACGTCAGAAGACTTCATGAACTAGTTTATCTGCAACTGTTGAAGCTTCTTGATTTGGAATGGTGAAGACTTCTGGCCACTTAGTGAAGTAATTCATCACAACCATGAAATACTTGTTACCACTTTCACTTTCCGGAAACGGCCCCGCAACGTCAATGGCTATCCTCTCTCATGGTGCACCAACATTGTACAATTTCAATGCGCCTCTACTACGAATTTGAGGTCCCTTTACAGCCGCACAACTTTTAAATTTGCGGCACAAGTCCTCGACATCGTTACGACAGTGGACCCAGTAAAACCGTTCTCGGATCTTCAGTAGAGTTCGTTTAACTCCCAGGTGGCCTCCTGAACAACCACTATGGTACAGCTGTAGAACATCCGGTACTTTAGCCTTAGGGACAACCATTTGGAAACGACATCTGTCTCCCCGACCATTTTCCCATTTACGGCACAGGACTCCATCCTGCCATCCATTGCGGCGTTGCATTACCAAATCATCTCTGATCCGTCTCCAGCTGGCGTTGACTTCGGGTACGGATACCCTCCATGTCGTCCTTTGGTAAAATCGGCATGATTTGATCCCACTTCTGACACCAATTGTTACGAGCTTAAGGTTCGAGACAGTTAAAAACTGCCGATTTAATTACCAAAATTGACACTTTAATTACACAACACTAATTACAATCTAAAACCACACTAATAATAATACACAATTGTACTACTGATCACTTAAGTTCGCAGTTGTTTCACTTCGAAGTATTCTCTTGTATCGCCAATTCAATACTGACTCGGTCGTGGTCTATACCGGCCTTATATAGGGCCTCAGATAGTTTCCAGAACGTTCTACTGTAGCGACATCTAGAATGTTCGAGTATATATCCGTTCCGAAATTTCTAGAAAAATCTTAACTCTCCTAGTTCTGCTACTCGACACTAGAGGGCGCTAGTGGGAACTAGTGTTGCCATATACAAAACATTAATAGTTGCACGCAACAATATTTTAGCTAAAAAATCTATCGGCATATGTACCGTGATAGAGCCATGCTGCAGCTATATTATGGTTGTAGCAAGAAATGGGTCGGCTCGACCGAGGTAGGACCACGCTCTCACAGAATACCAGCGTAAAATAGCAGTTTAAAACACTGCTGTGTTTCGTGTGGTGAGTGTAGAGAACCGGAGACCCTTTTTACTGGAAAAGTGGCATTCCATCTTGGTCATCAAGGATGACAGCGCATCTGCATTTTGATTTTTGATCGATAATAAATGTAGATGTCTACTCTCAGCATCTACTTACCATCGAATGGACTGTGTGCTCGTTTTTCACCCATATTCTATAAAAATAAAAATAAAAGATAAAAGAACTCCGTTAATTTTGCTAATTTTTCCCTATATTGCTATTGTCCGTTCATTTTAACTTGACGCGTGAGTGATTGGTAGCACTTGGTAGCACTGTTTACTCAATTGCCAACTTTCTTTTAGTTTGATCGGTTGCTGTGTGCTCTTTTGCTTTTTAATAATTTAATCTTAGTTTTAAAAATGCCGACAGTAGTAAAAAGTGCTAAAATACAAACTATTCTTCAAGTTTACGCATTTTGTGAAAAAGAAAAGGAAGAAAACAAGCTGATTCTTCCATTGCAACAAGTGTGTGCCTTGACCGGTATGTTTATAGGGTGACCAGTTACAACGATTTAGACTAACCTTTACAGTATCGCATGGTGGTGGATCATATTTTAAATTTGTTTATCTATTCCGCTAGATGATACTAAAATATTTACATGTAAGTAAGTAAGTATATTATGTACATTTTAGTAACGTAAGTGACGTATATTTTTTTTATTAACTAGTAAAATATAATTGCATTTGTTTAATGATTACAGATATATCCGAATGTAGATTCGTACAGTAGTGTAACCAGAATTTTAAGACAAGAAAGAGAGACCAGTTCAGTTTCAAATTTGAAGGTGTTCCTGGTCCGTCAAAAGTAACAACACCTGTAAAAAAACGACCAAATCGTGATAAGAATATTAAGATCGATGACTTCTATGCTTGTGCAATTCCACAAAAAATTATGTCATTTTACACTATATGAAAAGCAATTCTTACGTTAAACAAATTACTTATCGAATTACGAGATGAAATAAGATTTGAAGGTGGACGGATTACACTATGGGAAATATAAAAATGACTCGGATATAAATATAAAAATCGTCAATACAAACGAAAAATGTAAGTGGAGCGAACAGATATAGGTGCCTGGATAATATCAAAAAAATACTGAGATGAGGAGCTATTGTCTATTTGGGCGAAACTTTTATTCATTGCTCATATGGGGTGCAAAAATGTTGTCAGTCAGAGTCTGAAGAAGGTGTATTGGTCAGAGATTCTGGTAAAGGTAGACGATGGATAATTGCACACGCTAGAACTACAGACTGCTTCATTAATAATGATTTACTACTATTCAAGTCACAAACAAAGTCATCGGACTACCATAACGACATGAATAGCGATAACTATATAAAATGGCTAGAAAAACAAGTTTTACCAAACCTGCCACCTAATTGTGTGATTGTGATGGACAATACCATATCATACTGCACAAATAAATAAAAGACCTAATATGGCCTCAGCCTCAAAGCAGATATGGTAGAGTGGCTTCATAACAAGGGGCTGTTGTTTTCACCTAATTTGACAAAAATACTTTATATGAATTTATAAAATAAATAAACCAGAACCTATATACAAGGCTGACGAATTAATAAAATCACATGATCATAATGTTTTGCGACTTCCCCCATATCATGCCGATTTAAATCCGTTATCCGAAACAGTTAATATGGAGTGTAGTGAAGGACGATTCGCAGAGAAAAATGTCGGCCAGAGAGATAACCAAGTGGAATCACTTAAAAAAGAAGTGTTTAGCTCAATAACCTTTGGAAAAAAGAGTGCTCACATGTTATAAAAATTAAAGATGAGTACCTACATAGTTAAAGATAAAATAATAGATGAAAGAAGTGATCGCTTTTTATTGTGGGTTGGCAATGACAGTGACGAAAGCGATAGTGACAGTGAGCATTCAAGTAACATTGAAGAAGATATGATTCCTTTACACCTTATTGATACTTTTTTTATAGTATAGGGTGAACACACAGTCCATCTGATGGTAAGTGGTTGCTGTGGCCGATAGACATCTACATATATCCTCGTTTGCGAATCAAAATGCAGATGCGTTGTCACCCGTGAGGACTAAGATGAAATGCCTCTTTTCCAGTAAAAAGGGTCTCCGGATCTCTACACTCACCATACGAAACATAGTAGTGTTAAGCTGGTATTTCATGCTGGTATACTGTGAGAGCGTGGGACTTTGAGCCGACCCATTCGTGATACAACTATACTACTAATATAGCTGCAACATGGCTCTACTACATATAAAAAACATAAAAAGTTACATAAGTACAGTCATCAGCACGTCAGTAGCAACAATTAAATTACGAAGTTAATGCCCTTACTCCTCTACGAAATAAAGTCGTTTTCGAGGTTTTACTGTTAGCGCTAAGTGCGTTCGACAGTATAAGCCAGGTTTGAACCCGCAACCTCGTGCTTGACATGCATGTATACATGTTTTTCCCGTTCCATAATTCCTATCCCTACAATTCGGGGACGCTATTCTTATTGAAGCATGCAACACTGCAAATTACAGTGCTGTCAATCAGATTACGCGTTAAGTTACGATGAACGGACAATATCTAAAATGCTTGAACTAGGTGTCATGACATGATACGCGCGGCTCAGACGCGTGATATACGCGGGTGAAACCGCGGGGCACAGCTGGTATGTAATAAACCCACAAAAATTTATTCACAGATCTAAATTAAGCACGAACAAGCCAGAGCGTCGTACATATAATAACATGAACGCGTTGTTTTGTAATCAGCTGTAATGGCGTCATAGCGACGGACAGTATTGCGGGAATGGCGCGAGAAAGTCAGAGATAGGGAAAAAGTGAAACTAAGAGAGAGGCGCGGAGTGAGGTGCATGCTTTATATCAGCTGCACTCTCTCATCTTCATAGATGATTTTTAGTATTTCGGCTTGTGGAAATCAGCAGATTTTGTTGATTATGTTTTTCTTTGTTATTTTTACATTATTTCCTTCAAAATAAAAATAAAATTCAACCACGCTCAAGAATGTCAAGACGTTCCTTTTTGCATCCTTGTAACCCTCCTACTCCCTTACGTTAAGCTCAAATTGTCAGATTTTTCAAAAGCACTCTTTTTATTTATTTATTTATTCTTTTTTACATCTACCTTATAATAAGGGATATAAAGGGCGGACTTAATGCCTTGTGGCATTCTCTACCAGTCAACCCTATTTTTAGTTCGTAATTAACCCACTTTACCTTAATCTGACACGCTTTAGTATTTCTGATGATCGTTTTTTTTAATAATCTGATGGACCAACCTAGATGCACAGTCCTATATAAAGGACTTATATATGGTAGAGGTACTTAGCAGGAGGCCAGGTATCCTTCCTTATGTTCATCTGCCACGCTTGATTTATCACAAAACCCCCTCTTGGGCTCCCCTACTATAATGTAAGTCGAAGAACGAAGTTGATATTTATGAGTCAACATTTTTAGTGAGTTGTTTAAATACAATACTTTATATAATTTTATTCCCGAAAAGAAATTTAAAGAGATAATTTGTGCTGGAAAGTCATGGAAACTAAAGTTTTTCATTTCTTTTGACAGAAATTTTAAAATTTACAATGATCATCACATCATCTTCACACAAATTAAATTGTAGGCGGTAACTTCTACATTGGTTTTTTTTTTCTTAAGAATTAAAGTTAGTAGATTGTATTCCATGACGCTGTTGCAGTGCATATTATGGTAGTTCAAAGAGTCTCGCAGTAGCCCAGGGCATATGCGCCCGCTATTAACTACACGAGTTCGACGGAAAAGAGCGTAAAATAGCAGCTTAGTGCTAAATGTGTTCAAAAGCTATGATACCACAGATAGACACAAGATACGCAGATTTGTACATACGAGTACTACAAACTTATAACACCCCTCTGTTTTCGTCGGGGTTAAAAATAAATATATTTCGAGGACATGTTGCGTGACGTCGGTCAAGCCGCACTGGAGTAGCGGGGCGGATCTATTGCTCCATTTTTACTGAGTGGTTTACCACTCAGTAAAAATAAGATATTGCCTGTAGGTTGTAAAGGCTGTAACTTTTAATATATTAAAATATTACCGCCAGGTAAAAAGTGGTGTATTTCTCCTATAATAGGTAGTGACGGCGGACCAGGAATTTCCTCCCATGTCTTTAATGGTTGTGTAGTTGTTTCTGAATTATTTACTGCATTATTGTTTATCGTCGAAGCGGACCTTTAAAAATAAAAATATATAAAATAGTATATCAGTTCAGAATTTTGTCGTAAATTAGAGGAACGAATATGTGTACGAATCCGCCATTCGACTACTGTTGTGGATCACTCCTAGCACAAGTATTGCTAGCTGCCTATTTGCTATGGTTATTTGGTAGTATTTTTAAACAAAATTAAATAGTTTTGTACAAGTTCGCTCCAACTAGAACTCAAATGCTAGAGCCGTAAATTAGTAGTCAATTATTATGTCCAGCGCAGCCAAGAAACTTAAAAGACATTGTTGTAGAAGATACAGTGGAACTATAGTTTGTATTAAAGTATTCATTATACACCAAATTAATTTAAACATAATAAATGCATCAAATTGTACACGTGAGCGTCATAGCAAAGAAAAGAAGAAAATGTGTCACTTCAATATAGTAATCTTTTAAATGACCTTAGGCTGCCATCACATGTGGTTGCTGTAATTTTTTATAGGTTAAGTGTGATAAACGAACACACAATCCACGTGACAGTAAGTGATCATTGACAACTAGATCTATCATTGATTAAGAATCTAAATGTTTATTTGTTGTAACCCTTGAGGATTAATATAGAAGTCTCGTTACAAGTAAAAAGGTATCCAATTCTCTACACCCACCATTCGAAACACAGCAGCGTTCAGTTTAATTTTATGCTGGTATTCTGTGAGAATGTGGTCTTTACCCGGTCCAGCCGCCCCATTCTCACTGCAATCATAATATAGCTACCGTAAAGCCCCACCACGCTATAAATACAGTTAAAAATATATCTTACCTCAAACATAATATGTTCTTTTGTGTGTGTTTAAATAAATTTACCACGAGCATTATGTTTATTTTACTTCGAATCTATATAAAAACTATTAGTCAGACACTAATTTCACCGTTAAATAAATGCGTGCTTTCTCTGCTTTGAACTTGAAAGGACTGAGTCAAGTTCTTGAGAAACAATTCATATCATACGCTACAACTAGTTTTTGCCCGCGGCTTTGTCCTCTTGAAGGTCGAAACATTTTTTTTTTCAATTATGTAACATTGAATGTCATCATTTCAAGAAGTTTCTACGATTTCTATCAAGTGAAGTGGAAATTTCTTAATTTATGATTTCACTTTATTATAATTTTCATGACGTGATACTTATGATGTACCGTTACAATAATAACTAAATTAGGTTATGATTTCTTATATTTACGCGAACACTACACATTTTTAATTAAAATTAATTTTACGGATTTTATCGCGTATATTAATCTATTTTTATATTCCCGACGTTTCGGGTGCTTTCCAGCACCCGTGGTCACGGGGGACTGTGGTGTTTGACGTCCTGCTGTCATAGTTAGCCCGGCTACCTTCAGTTTTTTAATATTAATTTTTGGTCCGATTTACGCAGAATGAGCTTACGGTATCTTGAAGTCTAGCAGTGGTATACTTGGGTTTGGATTTGATTTTATTAATTATGGGATCCCAAGCAGATGGCAGCACCCATCCATCTTCTCTATTGAAATTAGGATGTTTTTTAATTTCAATAGCCTCTCGAATCATCGTGGTGGGCGGCGGAGCCATAGCTGGTCTATCCGCCGCTGGGGTCAGGAATGCTAGTGCTTCTGAGTGCTCGTTTTTCCTGGCCCCATGGTCTTCGCCCGTCGGACGCGGGGGCGTACTTTACGCAGGTGAAGATGGAGGCCACGTGTTACCGGAGAGAGAAATGGAGGAGGTCTTTTCCCGAGAAAGGACCGCCATGTCAGCGCTGGTGGGGCCGCGGATTTGTTGCGTTCCTGAAGGTGAAACACCATGGGGTTTTATTCGGTGCGAGTCTCACATAACTCGTACTGTCCCCCCGAACGGGTTCGCGCCTTGTCGTGGCGGGAGGCTTACTGGCTGGCTTGAGGTGGCCACTTCGAGTGGGCTTGGTGAGCCCACTTTGGATGTGCCCTCTCCCCCTACCCCTACCCCTCGCGGAGGAAGAGGAGTGTTGATATGGCGATGCGCCACTCACCCTATCCTCCGCCACACTGGCGGGGTCGCACCGTTGATTGATGCGGTAGTGGTGGGGCTGGGGGGGGGGGGGGAGAGAAAAGTGTCGTTATTGCGAAGCGCCACTCTCCCTCCCTCCACAGTTGAATCTTGGTGGGCGGCGGAGCCATAGCTGGTCTATCCGCCGCTGGGGTCAGGAATGCTAGTGCTTCTGAGTGCTCGTTTTTCCTGGCCCCATGGTCTTCGCCCGTCGGACGCGGGGGCGTACTTTACGCAGGTGAAGATGGAGGCCACGTGTTACCGTAGAGAGAAATGGAGGAGGTCTTTTCCCGAGAAAGGACCGCCATGTCAGCGCTGGTGGGGCCGCGGATTTGTTGCGTTCCTGAAGCTGAAACACCATGGGGTTTTATTCGGTGCGAGTCTCACATAACTCGTTAAAGCCCCCGCCAGGCGGGTATGTGTAGGCATTCCCCCATGTAAAACAAAAAATGGTAGGTAGTACTGTGGTCATGGTCGATTACGATTTCTTTGGGTCTCCGACTAATACGTATAATTTTTTTATTTCATTTCATTAACAGAATGATTTTAGTAACAGCACTGCCCCACATAGAATGTACGTCACACGATTTAGGCACTAATAATACTGGCACACTGATCAAAAAAAGCCCTCCGTGAGTGCCACCACCTGTCATATTTACATGAGTTTAGCGATGTACACATTATTTTATAAAAAAGAATAAACGCATAGTAGAGTCAAAATAAAACAAAGCAAATCTGTTAAATTTCTTTTAATCACTACTAATTATAAATATTTGCGACTTTGGAGGCAAGGGACTACAATTGTAAGCGACAGATCTAGAACGTGATTCTGGAATAACATTTTCAAGTGAAATTGGCTAATTGGATTTTGATGTACGGTTACTCTGTAATATCTTTTTATGATTAATAAATGCAAAAATAAGCATAATTACCTCAAACTCAACTAGCAAAAAGGACTGTGATGAAATTTGGTGATGACATTTTCAAGTATTTGAAATAACATATAAAATACATTTATCCCTAAAAAAATTATTCTGGAGAAAATGCAAGCAATCATTATCAGAAGATGCCTTGCATAGCCTGCAAAACAAGCATAATGATTTAATCTAATATATAAAAATTAATTTTTTTTTGTACGTAATTTATGCGCTGCCATATCGTTCAACAGATTTCGGTAAAACTTTGTCAACTTAATGTTTGCACATATAAAACTATAGTAAAATTAACTTACAGTAGATGGTGCGTGTATCGCAACGAAAAATTTATTTGAAATAGATAAATAGAGATAAAGAGTAAATAGTATACCGTAAGCGTAAGTGGTAGTAAAATAGGTAAGACAACATATCTTACCTAAAACTACCTACATACCAAATTTCATGGCTATTCTTCAAGTAATTCTTAAGTTAATAGTTAATACAGACAGATAGATGAAAGTTCCAAAACCTATTAATTTGAATAATAAACAAATGAAGAAGAAAACAACAAAGAAGAAACACTTTTAATATTATTGTTACACGCGATTTCTATAATTCTTCGTGTTTTATAGTCGTTGTTCAATTGTGTTATATAAGCAATTAAATTTGTTACAACACAAACATCATTATTAGCAAAAAATTATATGGTTAGAACCAATTATTAAACTGAATACTACGTGGAATACACTGAAAGATTTGCGTAACTAATATACATATTTATTGATTTTTAAAGTATTTTCATCACATCGCCTTATACGCCGCCATCACACGACATCAACTAGTGATATTTTCAGTAGAACGGAGAACTATGTTAAAACACTCTTTGCGTGCAACAGGCAAGACAAAAAAAGTAATAGCTTCGGTCAACGCAACTTATCAAGGTTGCTTGTACCTTAGTACGGGCCGTCGCGTTGGCTTAAAGAAGATTTAAAACAACAAATAACACTTATTTGAACACTAGCTGTTCCCCGCGACTTCGTTCGCGTTTTAGGGTTTTTATGTTTTTGCGCGGAACCTTAATTATTTTTCTAAAATAAAAGTAGCCTAAGTTACTCCTTATCAAATCAGCTATCTGCCAGTGAAGGTCCCTTCAAAATCGGTCCAGCCGTTTCGGAGATTAGCCGGAACAAACAGACAGACAGACAGACAAAATTTTAAAAATTGTATTTTAGTTAGAAGTACCGTATTTACTTTCATATGAATTTAGTAAAAAAAATAATTGTGACATTACAAACAGACACTTTAATTTTATTTATTTGTATAGATTAGTTAAATAATCCATAAAAATGTGATAAATATTCTACTTGTTTTAGGTTCTATCGGTCAAAAATAAGCATATTTATATTCAAATAAATATATTTTGCTAGAGGACATCATTATACCAATCTAACGTTTACTTAATTTGTAAGTGGATATCTATATTATACAGCTGAAGTACATTGAAGTTGAAGCTTTCATTACTATTTATTGCTTATTCCTATTTCACTTCTTTGAGTTGGTTCTGCCGAGATAAACTCATAAAAACGCCTATAACATTTATGGAGAATTCAAGTTCGATTATAAGGAAGGCATTATAATATTGAGTATAAATAAAAATATATCCCAATTAGTAATTACGTACACAATCCTTCCCATTTCATTTAAATTTTTTATTAATATTTGTAAATTTATTCCTATTTAAATTATATTCGCTATCACTCCTTTAAATTGTTCACAAAAATAAAAATATAGATACTTTGATCATGCTATGATTAAATGAAAATTAGGGTATGGAAATTAATGTACACCAACGATGTGATAATAATATAAGGCTTGTATTGCCTGCCTATTATTGTACATATCTAATCCTTAATAAAATTTAGTCAAAGTGAAAATATTATTTAAAGTAGAGGGAGCATTGCCTAAATATCTAACACAAATATTTTTAACTAGCTGTTCCCCGCGACTTCATCCGCGTGGAATTTAATGCGATTGGATTTGATGGGTCTTATTTTTTCCTAAAATAATAGTTAGCGTAAGCTACTCCTTATAACATCAGCTATCTGCCAGTGAAAGTCCCATCCAAATCGATTGACAGATTTTTACGTGAAGCGTGTTCAGACAGACGCCGTGTAAGAGTTTTATTATAGTACTAGTTGTTCCCCGCGACTTCACCTGCGTGAAATTTTTTTCGCTCGGAGCCCTAAAATAAATGTAACTTAAGTTACTCCTTATAACATCAGCTACCCGCCAGTGAAAGTCCCATCCAAATCGGTTTACGAGTTTTTGCGTGATGCGTGTTCAGACAGACGTCGTGTTAGAGTTTTATTGTAATATATGGAATGGATATGGATATGGATATACGAGTAGATATAGATAGAGATAGAAGATAGATAGATTACAAAATAAGAAAAAAAGATATGCCAAAATTTAATTGTGCATTTTAAGAAAAGCATATTGTTGTTTCATATACAGAGAGAAAATTATATAAAACAATTACATATATATAAACACCATTTCCTTCATCCATGTCCAAGTTAATGAAATGTTAACAGTTTCGAGAATCTTCATGACTACATTACTAGACGTATAAGGAAGCTAAAAGTTGCTTAGTGAGCATTGCAGCAGACTAAATTCTAACCAAAGTTACAATGGGCCGACCACGTCTCAAATTCTCAAGTGGCGATCTATCGCCAAGCGCAGTGAAATGTGATCCATCGAAACGAATACCTAATGATGCATGCATGCACCATGAATTCGATTGTTGCAAGTAGCTCAAGATAGTGCTTTGTGACAAATGAAGTAGTAATATCTAATGACGATGATAGATAAAACAACTTTTTTAAATGAAGTCTCTTAGTA